CTGCGACTCCAGGGTCTCATTTTCACTTTGTCTCCATATTCTTCCCTCACTGTTCTATGGTGTGCAGAAACTAGTGAAAACAAAACCAAAACAAAAATCGTTAAATGTCCCTGCCCTAATCAGAATACTTCAGTCTACCACAACCACCTGCTCTGCATATTTTTTCCTTTTTCCTTACAGAACAAATGGTAATGGGGAGGGGCGAAAGCAGAACCTAACTGCGTCTAGGAGAGCAAAGGACTGTGATTTCCCTCATAGCAGTGCTATGTGGGTTTGGACCAAACAGAGGAAGGTGCTGCCATACTTAGCAAGCAGATGCAAGATGCCCCCTGTGCTACACACAGCACACAACCCAAACCTACAGTGTTAAGGCAAGAGAGAAGTGGACAAACCAGGGAGATGCACGAAGAAGTAAAAACAGCTAAGGGTTAGAAGAAGCTGACAGAACATTCAGAGCAATAAAGAGCTAAAACAGAAGGCTAGATTAATTGAGACCAAAACCAGTGTAAATATCAAGCACAAAAAGGAGCAGTTCAGCATAACTAGAACTAGAAAGAACAGCAACAAGTACAATGACTTCTGCTACCCTCGAGCAATCTTTGTAATTGAGCACAGATGCTGGGTCTGATTTTTACCTCTGACAGCCAGGACAAACAGAAGTCCTTTAAACAACAATGATCTGAACCCAGATGGCAAGAGATCGGCCTTGTCCACAGCTGGAGGACTCACACCATCTATCCCCATCCCCATGCCACTTATTTCCCAGAACTTTACTACGCTTATGTTGAGACTTCAGTCTCTACCAGACTGGCTTAGACTCAGCCAAGGAGTGCAACTGCATTCATGACACGCATACACACACAAAGACTACAGCGATGACACAGATCTTGTTTCTGAAGGAAGCCAGGCAAACAAAGACTTACCGACCAGCCCAAAAGCCAGCACACTCCCAGCATCCGACGTTGTTTTATTTCCCTGTGTAGAACTTCTCAGATTTCTTTCCCAGATAGACATCCCACCCGATTTTATTATTTTTATAAGTTCTGGCACTGACCTAAGTGAAAAAGCTTTCTCTACCCCCAATTCCACCACCGTGGCAGACGGCAAATCCAAACATCTTTTAGACACCAATAATCACCTTCTCTTCTGGCTTCCCGCTCCTTACGCCTTTCTTCAGCTCTCCTTTCACGCTCTTTTTGCTCCCTTTGTTCTTTCTGCTGCTCTCTGATTTTTCTCTCTCGTTCTCTCTCAAGTTGCTCCAGGCGATCTCTAGAAAATAATTGATTATTTTTTGTTAAGCTGCAGTTCAGTACAAACTTAACTTACGAAGTAGAAGAGAACTGTTTTTCTGTAGCCGAGTACAGGGCAATTCAATTTCGTTGCAGAGAACAATGTACCTCTCCCTCCTGGAATGCTCCCTCGCCATTTCTCTCCGTTTCTGCCTTTCCCACTCACGTCGGGCCTTATCCTGCTCTTCTCTATGCCTCTTCCTACGCTCGTGCTCCCGTTCTTTCTCCTTCACTCTGGCATGTTTCCCTGAACAGGCAAAAATGAATTCTGGAGAGTTACCATTCAAAATATTTTGCACTCCTATTTTCAAAAAAGTAGAAAGGACAACACCTATGACAGCATATTCCTATGCTCTCTGTTCTTTCCTTGATGGAAACATCCTGATCTGAAAGGGCATTAAATAAGTAATTGTAAGAGCTCAAACACTTGTGTTAAATCAGAAAGAAGATTGCAAGTAACAGGAAGACAAAGCGGATGTTTCTAAACTTTGTGCTCTCTTAGTTACATGGAAATGGTATTTGTTCTTTTCCATTTAGCTACAAATACCACAGCTCGTCTCCCTGACTCTGTGAGGCTGCAGTGAAGCATCACAGAGTTGCAAGAGTAAAAGCAAACTCTGTGTCCCTGTCCCAGAGTGGCTGCTGTCCTCTCAAGCACAGACGTGCATCTATCGCTCTTAAAGGGGCACTGGACACAATTAAAGAGAAAAAAAAAAAAGAAAGCAAATTTCACTTATTTTATCATATCCATCTGATATGTTTTCTCTGGTCTGCAATTCTTATTCCCTCTCCATGGAGTGCCCATTCAGTGCACCCTTGAGAAGTGTGAACAAGGTGTAACACCACCTTCTGCTGAATGACTGCGGTGTCTCCGTTTCTCTTTCCTCTTCTCATCTTTTCTATGGTGGGTTTTTTCTTTCCGTGACATTTGCTGTGGTGGTTTTATAGCCAAGGAATCATCTTCTTCTCCTCTACAATAAAGACACAAACTGATAAGCTCAGGGAGGTTAAATGCACCGGCCTCTTCTCCCAGGCAACAAACAGGACCCAAGGAAATGGCCGCAAGTTGAACTAGAGGAGGTTTAGGTTAGACATAAGGAAGAATTTTTTCTCTCTGAGTGGTCAGGCGCTGGAATGGCTGCACAGGGAGGTGGAGGAGTCACCATCCCTGGCAGTGTTCAAGAGGAGCCTGGATGAGGAGCTGCAAGATGTGGTTTAGTGCTTGTGGTAGCTGTGCTGATGGGAGGATGGTTTTGCACTAGACGATCTGACAGGTTGCTTCCAACCTTGTGATTCTATGATTTAACAGACTGAACACTACTTTCTCTTTTATCCCTTTTGAAAAAAAAAAAAAAACAACCCAACACTCATTTTCCTATTTTCCACAATACCCCTGAACTAAAGCATTAAGGCTATGCTACAAACATCACCGAGTCGTGGTTTAGCAGTACCTTAACCAAAACATCATGTTACTGTGCAGTGGCCAAAATGGGCTCCGAATGCACTGTTATGCCTGAACCAAGAGCCTCCTGGCACTTGGCACAGCTAGGAGGGAACCTCAAACACCTCAGAAAGTTCTGCTTTCCCCTGTAGTGCTTCAGAGCACTCAGCTCAGGGTTTTTAGCCCCCAGGTGCACTCAGGGAGCATCGCACCGCAGGCAGTACCTGTCCTCCATGGAGTCCTCCCTGCGGTACGGTGAATTGCGGATCGTGATCTCCATGCGGTGATCTCTCAGCTCCCCCTCTTCAAGAGAATCCCGCTTTGAATCCCTATCATCCGACTGGGACAGGAACACACAAAGGGCAGGTAAACCAAACCACGCTCGTTCAGGCACGGCAGCACTGAGCAGCGCCGCCCCAGTCGGGCACTCACGTTTTTCATGCGCTTTATCTCTGCTTTCTCCTCTTGCTCCTTCCTTCGTTTCTTTTCCTGAAGGATTTCATCCAAGGTTTTCACTTTCCAAGAATCCTTTTCATCACCCATTGGAGTTCCAAAAACCATTAAAAAAAAAAAAAAAATATATAAAGAAGGGCTGGGAAAAAAAAAAAAAAAGAAAGGAAAAAAAAAAGAAAAGAAAAAGAAAAAAAAAGAACGAGACGTTACGGAAACGCGGCGCTTCCTGCTTTAATCAACGCGCCGCACCAACTCCTTCCCCGCACACGGATCGCACACGGATCCCCCCGCAGCGCCCCGTCCGGCCCCGCCTCAACCCGACGCCCGCGGCCCCGCACCGCCGCCCGGCCCCGGCCCCGGCCTCCCCCCGCCCCGCGCCGCGCCCCGCCGGCCCGCTCACCGCCGCCGCGACCGGACACCGACGGGCAGCGCCGCACAAAGCGTCACTTCCGCCGCCGGCTGATGACGTCACGCGCACAGCGCGGCGGTGCGGAGCCGTTGCTGGTGGTCGCCGTTCGGATCTGCGCCCCGTCGGCGGCACCGCGGCGGTCCAACGGCTCGGCCTTAACGGCGTAGGAAAGAGCGCCGACCACAGCGAGCCGGTTTATTATTCGTTCCCGATGCGTGAGTGCAGAGCTGACGGCTGTCACGGCGCGGTGCCGGCAGCTGGAGCCCGACCCGCTCAGCGCTCAGGACTCAACCGCGACCGGAGCTCACGAGGCGCGTTACGAGCGCTACGTAGAGATACGGCGTCGTCCGTCCTTTTCGCCGGGAGCGGCGTTGTTCCAGCAGCCTTAACCTCCTTCTGTCAACCAGTGCTGCCGGCTGGACATAAGCAGCAAAGCTCTGCCACGCTGTGCTCTGCTTCCCAAAGTGAAGTTTGCTCAGCGCTGAAATAACGCCAGCCTCGGAGGGCTGTGTGTGAAACCTGCAGGAATCCCAATTATTAGCAGTACCGTGTTAACGAGGTATTCAGGCACTGTGTGATGTGCCAGGGCAGAGCTGCACATCCATCCACCAAAGCAATGCCACTGCGTTGTGACTGTGGGTGCCCTCCACTGCGTGGATGGTGCCTTGCTCCTGACAACATGAAGTTTGCACTGTTTCCAACGAGGGATGAGAACTAGAGAGCTGGTTTTGAAGTTTCACCTGCTCAGGGCCTGCTTCTTAATCCAGGCAGCCCCAAAGTGGTGTGCAAAGCAGTCTGCTCCTTTTGGATGATGGGTGGGATCTATAGGCTCTGATACAGGTGCTTCTGGGGAGGAATTTTCCAGGACTTCAAACGCAAAAGCATTTAAAGGGCAGACAGCTCAGGCATAAGGTTGTAAGGAATGCTTAGCATGGAACAGAGCGGTCCTTGTTGGTTCAATAGAAGGAAGAGCTAAGAAGTGGAAGAAGAGCCAGATTTGCCCAGTCTGGTAAAAACAGAGACCAAAGAGTCTGCACTGAAAAGTACAGGAGGAAAGCACAGTGCAAACAACCCCAGCACACCTAAACTGTCACACTGCCACAACAGGTAGGGCTCCAGCTGCTGCTAGTAACCAGGGGCACCTGGTAGGAGTTACAGTTCCAAAGTCCTTCCCAGCTGTGTGGCTCCACAGATGTTCTCCATTAATAGGAAATGCAAAGTCTGCCAGCTTCCCAAGACAAAGCTGTGGTGGTGGAGGGCACTGCATGAAGGCTGTTAGACGACCAGAGAGCCACTCACATCTCAGCCCTCCCACAAGAGTGAAAACATGCTGCAAAACAACGTTTTCTGCCAAATGCACAGATTCTTGAAAAGCATAAAGAAAAACTTGAAAAACAGATCTCAGATCTCCATTTCACAGACCACAGGTTTCTTTTTTGTTTTTGTTTTGCAAGCAATATGAGCAGTGACAATGCACCAAAAAAACCACGCAACAGAACAGACATCACACAATGATGAAAAAATGGACATTTCCCTTCTGCTCAAAGCAAACATACACAGCCAGGGATAAACCTGAGCTGCTGCTCAAACTGATCCCGAGGCCAGGCTCCCCCACACTGCCTGCCCTGGGGACACGTTTGCCTTCCCCAGGAACTCAAGCTCATGGAATACCTCACATGGGAAGCGTGAGCAGGAGCTGAAATGTCCTAAGAACTCCGCATGCAACTTCCTATTAGAAATTGTATTTTACCCTAAAGAACACTTAAATCCAGGCTTTTAACACCAAGCTACACTCTTTCAAAACAGGAAATTATTAAAAATCAGCTCATTTTGTTAATTTTGTTATCAAAAAGCCCACGTGATGGGTTCTGTAGATACATGTGCTCGATTTGCAAAAACAAATGAATAAAATTTCAGGTTTCCTTAAAGGGAAGGCAAGAAATTGGCTTTTAACCTCCAGTCAGCCATGAAATGTAACTTCTCCAAAAAAGGAAGAATTCTCAGATCAGCCTCAGCTCGTGGTCCCCTTCCAGCTTTGTCAGATACCCCCAAGATTCCTCACATAACTGGAAATGTCAGAAATATTTTGTACATAGGGTAATAACCCTGAGTTTCTGAAAGGCAGTACTTTCATTGCAGTCCTACAAACAATGCTACAAAATAAAAGCTCACTTCCTCATTAAAAAATACATAACAAAATGCAGGAAATTCAGATATTAAAATGGTTTCTGATAGAAATACGGATATCCTGACTTATCACAGCAAAATCACAGGTTTTGGTGATAATCTGCAAGCAAGTGCAAATATGTACTTCAGCACTGTTTATACAGTACAACTGTCTGTGCACTTGCATTTCAATACTGTAAATACATAACCAGGATGAAAGATTTCCCTTTTGAGTTTCAGCAAAAAAAAAAAAAAAAGACTATCTACTGCTAGTTTTGTAGTTGGAAATAGTGGCTCATTGTGCTTTGAGACATGGACTCATGTCTGTAATTTACTTTAACGAGGGCTTTACCAAAATAAGCCATTTGCTGAGACATGAGCTGGGGGAGGGAGGGGTTCCTCCTTCCAGCTCTGCAACACAAACAGATAATGGAGGATGCAGCATACAGTAATAACACTTTGAAATTTCATTCCACTGCAAGAAAGCCAAATACAGTGACGGGCCAAAGTTTTCACATTGTTTTCCTGGGCAAGGAGGAAGCAAGAATTTTCCTACAAGACACCAAAGTTCTTTCTCTAATATAGGCTTGTGTGGGTTTTTTTTGCAGTCAAGAGATCAAAAAGCCCACATTTACCACATTAAATAACACCAGGCCCTCTGCTATTTCAGTTTCTCAGAAAAATCAAGGCTTCCTGGGTTCCTGTCATCGTTCTCTTTCTGCTTCAAGTCCCAGGCCTGACTTGCTGTGAACCTCAAAGGAACCACATCAGCATCAATAGTCACAGAAACAGTCACTTCTGGCAGGAGTCCCTTTGAGTTGTACAATGTTGTACGAATAAGTGGTCATATCAATCATATGGTTTCAAATCCTTGGCAATCAGTGGCTCAGTATCTTCAGCTGTACTTGGTGCAGGCTGTGGGGCTGCAGCTGCCAGGCTGTGTATAGTTTCTTGCTGATGCTGCTTTGCCTTGTTGTAAAGCAGAACTCCCACCGTCACTAGAACAGTCCCAATGGCTGAGAGGCTTGTGATTTTGTTACCAAACACAATAATACTTAGCCAGATTGACAGTGCGTGCTTCACAGTACTGGCAACACTGGAAAGGAATTTCAGAAGTTAAGGCCAAAGAAAGCTCTCCTGTATGGAGTGTAGGAACACACAATCATGTCTTCATTTAGGGGATCTCTTTTGCTAGCTTTTTAAATACCAATCAGATTCCACTTTTCCTAGTTCAGTAATCCTCTAGCCACAGTGCTTGTCTACTGGCACTGATATCTTCAAAGACATTTTACTTTAGACTTACTAAGTCACCTCAGAGTTTGGTTTCTTTGTTATTTTTAAGCATGCATTTGCATGCTATTTGCATTAGCAGTTCATTTTTATCTAAAACAGACACTCAGACAGTATCAACATAACACCACCGACATAACTGCCATTTCTGATGTGCTGTTACTGCTCAGGTTCTAGAGTATTCATCACTGCACCAGAATTGTGCAGGAGCCTAACGAAGCTGCCCATAACTGACAACAAAGGAGGAGCCATCTTCAAAAGACACAAGTATTACAGAAAGTGTAGCTTGTCGTGCTGGTGTCATGCCTCAGAAGCAGTTGTACAGAGCTGACTGACCATTTTCTGTACTGCAATTAGCTATCTTTAGGTATTGCCTTATTATCACCATAGCAAACGTCAGCACCTGTTCCACAGCTTCAATGGCACATGCCAAATGCTGCTCTTCTCACACTTTGAGCAAGCAGTCCAAAAGCTTTTCATGATGTGGATGTGAAAAAATTTGTTCTAATTTCACACATTTGTGCATTTACTCATTTCTTTGCACAGTACTCTTACTACTTGGTTTCTAAGCAGAAATATTGAGTAAGAAAAATAAACATAAGCCCTCCTGGCACGGAAATGAAGTTTTACCTGAAAGTCACAGGAGAAATTTTTCCCATCAGGGCATAGGCTGTAACACTTTGCAGGTGGAACAAGACTCCATCTATTAAGAGAAGTACAACTACATCTTGGTTGTAGCTAAAACTCCTTCCACTTTTCCCAATCACTGGAACATCCTAAATGCAAAATAGAGGCTCTTAAGAGTTTAGCTTATGACCAAATCTAAAAACCAACATAGACTTTATTATTATAACCAGATATTAGTTTTACATTTAAACATCAGCATAACAAGATCTGAAACATAAAGGACATTCACATCCTCCGAAGTTTCCCCCCAAAAGATGAAGAAGCCCTCTTGGATCTGACTGCATTCAGACTGCCAGTGAGATCTTTTCAAACACTGATGCAAGGCAGTGAAATGTCAGAATGCACATTAGACTTACTTCAGCACAATTTTGCTTTCAGAGAGTTTGTACTCCTGCATGCCACATGAACATTGGCAGAAAGTCAGCAAATTCTTAAGATTCATAGTTCAAGTCTTTAACTCAAATTTTGAATGCATTTATGTAGACAGACAAAGTAATTTCTCTCTAAAACTCTGAAATAAACTCAGGCTTGCTGGGTCAGCTGCCATCTCACATCTCTGCTAAGCTATTGAATTTAGCATTTCTCCAGCTCATGCAAACAAAAGACAAAGCTCTGGTGATGAAGTGATTGAAGTAAAATGGGGCGAATTAAAAGCAAAGCTCACAAGTAACATAAATTTGCACTAGCAAATTCAAATTACCATGAAAAATATCCAAGCTGGAATAAGCATAACCACTGCAGCAGCACTTGTATAGAACTGAAGCTCTGGGGCTCTACAAAAAGACAAACAAAAATGGTTAAGAGTTCCTTATTTCACAGAGCTGAAGATAGCTGCATCAGATTTACATAAAAACCTCACTGTGGTATTGGTAGACATCAAGAAATGCTAACAAAAAGCAAACTACTAAGCTTTGCAGACAACAAACTCAGCAATCTCTTGCATTCTGTGTTCTGTGTTGGCCAAGACAAACCAAAGATAAAAGGCCAAAGTTTTCAAGACCCAAACCAGCTGTAAAATCCTGCAGTAAAATTCACATTCACTGAGTTGATGAAGTTCACAGCAGCTTGGTCCAATATAATCACAAATGCATGGTTTTCTTATGCAGCCTAAAGTCAATCCATAATCCAACCTGAAATGTTTTAAATACTTACGAAAATCTGTATTTATCTCCACTGAGTAATTTTTTGGAAAAGACATTCTGCAGACTGGTAAAGAAACAAAAACACAATGTTTAAGCAAACTCACAGCAAAAAGGAATCCATGATCACTTGACTTAGTTTATTGTGTATGGAAATATCAAAATAAAAAACTTGTCATTTTCCTAGTTCCAAAGACAGAAAGAACTACAAGCAATGACTTTACTCAATCTATAAGAAACATAACTCCTTTATTCCACACACAGAACAGCTGCTATGACTTACCAGTCCATTATATTAGTAGATAAAGCTGCCGAGAAACCTAGAATGTTGAAGCTGATTTCAGTAGCTGTACACAGAGCTAGCCCACCCATAACTGGAATGAGAGAGAGATTAACCAGCAATCCTGCAAACGAAAAGAAATAACAAATTAACTCCACTTCAGTTACTGTACTCCTAATGCCAAACATGAGATAACACAGCTTTAAGTTCTAGTTTCACCACAACTCCTTTATTTCGAAGGAGAAATAATTTGATCAGATTTACTGTTCTATCAGAATGATTCTTCCAGCTGCTTGAAACTGTCTGCCATACGTCAGTGACATCTCCCTGCCCACAGCCCAACAAGTGACAGCATGACACAAAACAAATATTTTAAAAGGAAACATAAATACTGAAGTGCTCACCAGTGTATTCCCCCAATATCATCCGAGACATGATAACAGTAAAAATAGGTGCGGAACTTTTAACTGTCTCTGCAAATGAAACTGCCACATTTTTCAAGCTGACGAGCCCTAAGACCACTGTTGCAAATCTGAAATTGAAAAACACAAGAAATTAAGCAGAAGATAAAACAAAGCTTTAACAGCTACGCTCTGTGAAAGCAAGAAAGAAAGGGAAGAGAGCATAAGAACAGTGCTTCTGACCAGAAAAATGCAATGAGCCAATAGGATAGAACTCCAATTAAAGGTTTACCTCATCAGTCCAACAAACAGCATTATCATGATGAAATTGGGTGGGTAAGAGATGCGTGTTTTGTGCTGGTACAAGCAGCATGGAACAAACATTTTTATACAACCAATAAAGGTGGTTGAAAGCATTTGAACAGCACCTAGAGAGATGGGAAACAATGTCAGGTGGTGATGGGAACGCCACATAATAAGCAGCATGACAGAATTTTGTAAACAAACTGGTCTGCAGTGACTCTAGGCTTGATGAATTCTCACAGCTCTTTACTTTTACATCCACCAGCAAGGCAGCAGAATAAATCAGATCACTCAGTCCACAGATACAATTTTTAAGTTCTCTTATTAGAACAAATAAGGAAAAATAAGCCCAGTGAATAACAGATGTCACAGAGGGCAGCTTCTGCTCTTTTACATAAAAACTGTTAATCAAACAAGTTAATCAGCACTAGAGACTATCAACAACTGACTCGATTTTATCATATTTTTCAAGAGCCCACACTGCCCTCTGGCACAGAAAAGTGAACATTTAATTACATTTTTTGTTCTCTAAACACTCTCACGGCTCCTGTCCTCCATGTGGATAGATGAGAGGAGAGAAGGCAGGCTGTGAGCACACACACGTTCTCAGCCCCAAGATCCACATCTCCTAACTTGGTCCTTCTGAGGGAGCAAATTGTTCAGCTAAAGGGAACTTTACATGCAAGGATCTGATATAATCAAATATTTTACTGGAACTGAAGCATAAAAGAAAAGCAGGGTTACCTAGCATGCTGGGCTCTCCTTCCAGTAAGGAAAGGATGTATTTGTTAAGAAAAAGAGTGCAAAAGCTGAAGAAAAACCACAAAGTGAGGTAGATGAGAGCATGAGAGTTCCAGATTCCCAAGTCTGACTCGATGACCGTGGTCTCTGTGATAGTTATTTTCAGAACGTTCTCTTCTGGCACACTATCACTCCTAGCAATTACAAATTTTTCACTCCTGTTAGCAAAGAGCGAGCCCAAATTAAATAGTGATTTTCCCTTTGGCTTTTCTTCAAGGAGAGGAGGATTGGGTTCCTCCGGTGTCTCAGCACTCGTCACAGTCGACATTGTGACACAACACAACTGCCTGTCCTTAACACAAAGCAACACTGACTTCGTAGGGAACAGTACGTGGAGAGAAGAAAAATATCATGTGATCAATCTTTCATCTCCAGTGGTCTCCAAAAGTGTATTTGGTCCTCCAAGTAACATCCTGTGTGAAAAGCAACTTTAGATGCCTCTTCATGTGCTCTATTCCATTTTTTTCTACCTAAGAATGGAGAAAAAAAAAAAAAAGAGAAAGAAAGAAAACCAAATATAGCAGCACACATCATTCCAATACTACAAAAATACCCATCCATTCTGAAAGATAAAAAAGACCTCACTACCCTCTCTTTCAGAATGCATTTTGTACTGCTAACTTGACAATGACCTTTACTTTTCTCAAGTTAAACAACCTTTGGCATCATAATGCTAATAATGCCCAAAGAAAGAAAGGGAACCTGAGAAGCTTAACTGCATTATTAAAACATATGATCAGAATTAAGTGCTTTCTATTTTACAGACTGTGTTTTACGAGCAAAAGCAATCAGAATTAATCAGATGATTCTAAAATGATGAGTCATCTTTTGTTCCTAGATAAAGAAGCAGTAGAAGAAATGAGAGCTGACAAATCCAAAAGCACATTTCTTGGATGGGCTGTATGGAAGGCCTTGCACCGTTAAAAAGCAATTACTGGGGGCAGCTGATCACCAGACAGCTTAGTAAAGCTCTCTGAAATAAGACTGTAATACCACAGTGAATCAAAGAATGGCAGTACAGGAAATAATTAATGGCAAGCAAAAATAGCAGGGTTCTAACAAGACCCAATGCACCTGCCCTGATTTTGCTAACATATGAACAGCATCTGCTTTTTTCTTCACGATTTTGTAATGTTTGATACTAAGATGTACTAAGAGTTAAATACATTGTGCCATTCATTCCCATATCCTGCTTTACACTGAAGTTTTCCATTCCTAGTGTAAGCTATTTCTCTTATTACAGCCACACAGGGACCATTTCCACCCCATCACCTTATCCCTTTCCGTTTTAGCAGGAAATCATGCCAACACATTGAGGTACAACGCTTCTGCACGCTTGTGCTCAACCATACATTCACATTTACCCCACGTACAACAAAACCAGCCCACGTGAAATAAATAGGCTGTATGGGGATTTGTTCCAACAACCCGATCTTTGCTTTCTCCTCTTTCAAGCTTTCATGAGAAACAAACAACACAAGAATTACTATACATTCAGAACAGTTCATTACCAAAACTTAGCTTTTTTTTCTTTCTATTTACATTGCTCAAGTAAAAACAAAAACAATTAAGCCCAACAAAACCCCCACTTTGGGCAGCACCACATTATCATATTTGATATCACCAATTCCACTAGTGGTAGGAAGCAGAAAAGCAATAAGAAGAATAAAACCACACCTCTGAATTACTGACCTGCTGTCTTACATCAGCTGGAAAGCTTTAAATTGGCTGGAAGAGCTTTCCATCTGGAAGTAATTCAATCCTCCTCCCATAAGAGCAACCAGCAGCTGATGTTTACCAATAAATGAAAACGTGGCAGTAGCTGGTAGACTGTTTCTGTTGGATTACACACAACATGGAATCTTCCAGCTCACAAGAATGAACAGCATGCAGTGCATTTTAAACTCTTCCTTCTATCTTCTCCCATTTTAGACTACATTACTAATAAGAAAAAAAAAAAAAAGTGCTGTACTAAAGGTGAAAAGATTGGGAGCATAAACTTTGAGGGCATCAAATTCTGACTGATGAGTAGCAGCTAATTGTTTAATACAGCCCAGGTCTTCCCTTAGAACTGAAAGACTAAAATTATTTAAAGATAACACATACAATGACAAGGAAAAATGCAGTAATGTGAGGAAATATAACCTAATGAGAGGAAATATGACCTTTTTCTTTTTTTAAAGCTGCACCTACTATGCCTGGGTACAATTTATTGCAAACATAATAGATAACATTTCCAGCACCACAGATGCTGGGGTGGCACACAGCCACGTGTTTGAATGCAGAACTCCTTGGCGGTGCAGCTGCCCTCAATGCAGGTACCTGTTAGTCAGAAGCTCTCGCTGTGCTGTCAGCAGTGGAGCACATTCTGCCCATCGCTGTTACACGTCACCCAGCAGCTCCTGATAGCGTTCGTTGGACGGGCAGAGCTTGGGGCTTCAGCACGACCAGCATCTGGCAGAAAGACAAGGCGTTAGGAAGGAGGGGTGGGAAGAACCGCGGCTTTGTCTGTGCATAAAGATGGATGTCTTCTTTTGGTGGTATCCACAAAAAACGCGAGGAGCAGGAACGCTAGAAGCGGCCACTTCTGAAACCGAGCTTAGTCGGGCAGCGAGGAGAGGCCGGGATGCAGACACGCCCACGTGCCCTTGGCAGCTCAGCATCCGAGCGAGCAGCCGACGTTATTTCACTGAACGACAACAAAGCACAAAGGCGTACAGACCGCGAACACCATCTCAGAACTACTAACGTCTCCCGCGCAAAGAAACGCTCAAAAACAGCCGAACGTTTTTCCGCACACCAGCGGCACTCCGCCCGCCCCTCGCGACCCTCGCGGCCGCCCCGAGCAGGGAGCAGGAGCAGCGGCAACGGCAGCGGCAGCCTCCCGCCTCCCTTCCGCCCGCCCTCATCCCAGAGGGTTCGAAATGAAAGGGAAGGAGGCTGCGCTCACAGCCGGCCGGTCAGCAGCGCTCCGCCCGCCGTACCGAGCCGCCCTCCCGCGTGCGGCACAGCCCGGGCGGCCGCCGCCCAAAGCCGCGGGCGGGAGCGGGCCGAGGGGCGGCCCCGCATAGAACCCGGCACCCAGCCGTGCCCAGCCGCCCCGCGCCGTGCGGGAAGTGACGTCCCACCGCCCCGGAAGGGCGGGCGCTGCGCGGCGCGGCTCAGCCGCCGCAGCCATGTAGCTGCCGTTAGCGGAGGGCGGCGCGGCCGGCATGGAGCCCGCCGAGGAGAGGTGAGAGGTAGCGGCGCGGCTGTGGGCGCGGAGCGGCGCGGCTGTGGTTGCGCCCCGGCGTGACGCCGCTTTGCTTCTCTCTCCCTGCAGCGGCCCCGCGCTGCCCAACCTCACCCCGCGGCACCGGGAGCTCGTCCCAACGCCCTGCGGCCCCGTGAGTAGCCGGGCGGTCCTTCGCGGTCAGGTCCTTCCCGCAGGAGAAAATGTGTTAATTACAGTCGTTCGGTCAGACCGAGGCGCCCAGGGGTACCCGCGGTTTCTTCGCGTGTGGTTTGGCTGGAGCTCGTTCCTTGGCTGCTTTTCATAGCTGCTGCCATATGTTTATGGCTGCAGAGCAAGCCCAGTACTAAACAAGCACTGCCCGCATTGACTGAAGGCCAGCCTCGCTCCAAAGCAAGCAGCACTTTCTCAATTACTTTCAGTTAGTTGGTTTGGTTAAATTAAACCGTGTTATCAATGCGGTGCATGGAAAGACTTTGTGTATAAGGATGTTTTGTATAGCAGCAATGTGACTCATGTAAGATGGTAGCTCAGTAACAGTGTCATAGCTGACCTCTGCCTCCAGGTGACTCTCCAGGGCCATGTGCCACTGCCAAGGGAAATCCAAGCCGTTCTGAGCATGGTGCCATTCATCGCCAGTTCATCTCTCTCCAGGATTTAGGCTGCACAGAAAAAAACATCTCATTCAAATCTTTTGTATGCTTTCAAGTGTGACTGTTTCTCTATGATCTTCTAAAAGTAAAAATCTTAGCGTGGGTCCCCAGGAGGTTACTTGCTGAACATTACTGCTTTGATAGGTTTATATCTGGGTATTGCCAGACTTGATTCTAGGAGATGAAATCAGAGTGCTGTGAGAAAAGCAGAATACAGTTTTGCAGGGATGAACCCAAAAAATCGAGGCTGAGATCACTCATCAGATGGAATTGGAGTTCTCACTCCCTCAGCACTTTTGCAGTTTCAGTTCTATTGCAAAGTGTTTCTCTTCCCCTTCTCCCAGGGGAACCCTGCCCTGGTTGTCCATCAGCCCATTTGCTTTAATGCATTTCTTAGGGACAGCAAATAGGTCAAATGGCATCGCAAGTTTAAACGTTCTCTTCCTTTACAGATCAAGCCTTGTTCAGAGCTGTCATTTCCTGTGAAGATCTACTTCTGCGTGACTATTTTGTCTCTGCTCAGTGTTATAGGGTTGACCATAGAGACGCTCGTTCGACAGACTGAGGAAGATTTCACCATTTCTCTTATACAGTTAGTTGGAGTTGGTAAGAAACACACTCACTGTGCTTTAAAACACAGCAGTGCCAAAGTAGGAACTAAGGAATGCAATGAGCACAGAGGGAGAATTGCACACCTGCCACAAACCTCTGGTTTAGGCCAGCACAAACAGAGCACTAGAAAGTTAATTCAAGAGGTTGGATTTAATTTGTTAAACCTTTCCTTTTTGAAAACAAAGGGATGTCCTTTATTTGTCTCAGAAATGTTCCTGTGCCATCCCTGCAAACAGTGGTCAGGAAAATGTTTGTTTCCAAATTATTTGTACAGACTTCTGTTTTAGCAGGTGAACTTATAAAACAAGGAAATACTGTCTGACATCTTCAGGTCTTCCTGAGGTCATAAGCACACAAAAAACAAAATCACAAGATCCATTCTTTTATTTGCTGACCATTTTTTTCTCCTCTCAATTACTTTAATAATAGCAGAAAAGGAAGTAAACTTACCATAAAGTTTGTTTAGGGCAACTGAAGTTATTATGTTACTTTGAAAACTTTTATGACCCACGTCCCAGGCTAACATTTTTATCTCATGGGCTGAGTCCAGGAAGTACAACTGTGGGAAAACAGAAAAAAACTGTTACTTTGTCTATGGTAAGAATGAGCTCATGTTTGCAGGAGTGACCTAGATAGGAACAGCCTGTCTTTGTGCAAGGAAAGCCTCTTCCTTATGTGTGTGGTCGTTGCAGAATAGAATACTAAGGTATGTAGCTTGATGTATTTCATAAAAACATCACCTCAGAACTTTCCTGAATCAATTCCTTTCTGGACTATAGTTTGGTGTTTTAAAGCACATGCAGGGGGTCAGAGCCATGAAAACAATCCTGTGGAGGTATGTGTGTGAGCAGTACCTTCCTGACTAGTCACTGGAATTGCTGTCACTGGAAGGATTCTGTAATTTCAGTTCTTTAATAAAATACTGTTACTTAATTTCATTTGCATATACTCAACATAAATGTTGAACAGTGTAGTTCTAATCCAATAAAGGATACCACAGCTGCTGGTTAGTTTGGATGGTTGCTATTTTCAAACCATTTCCTCAGAAGTGATTTAAAAGTCCAGTGAATTATTTCATTCTTTATATGCTACACACAGGAGCACTCACAGCATCTGAAGAATTGGATGCAGGCTCCTTGCTGAGAATGAAGATACGCTTTTGATTAAGGAATCTAAGTTGCACAATCTTGATAATTCCACTTTGTCATCTGGATCACATGTACTGAAAAAGAGCACCACTCTGTGCTCACCTGCTAACTGACTTCTCCTTCTCCTTCCCAGTGTTCTGTGTGTACTATGTCACTAGAGGAATCCTGCAGGAGAACCGCCAGGAGCTCATTGTCTTTGTTCTTTCCATCCTGCTAGTGATGTTTCGTTCCATTATCAATTTCACAGTTCTTCCTGCTGAGCAAAAGCCAAAACTCCTGGTTAGTCTCCTGGTTTTAATTAACTTTGCTTTACTCTAAATCTTGGATGTAAAAATCTTAGAAAGGCAAGGCACCTGTGGTAAGGGCACTGAAAACAGAACATCAGGCCAAATTATTCCTACCACTGAATAACAAAACGCACATCTCCACAATGACAAATCTGTACAGTTGTATGGGTTTCTTTATGCAAGTACCTGAAAGTAACATCAGTATCAAATGACATTACTTACACAGAATTACTGCAGAATGTGTTGCCATTGGTTTACTTACCCTGCATCAGATTTTCACCTATAAAATCACTGGCCCAAAGTCACATAAATTCGACTGAATGGAACTGGAATGTCAGGTCTGTATGCAAGGGCGCAGCCACTAGCAACTCCTAACATCCACAAAAGCAACATTGTGTTTTTAAGAGTGATAACCTGATGCAAGGAAACAAAAAGGTAGTGTTAAGGCAGGTACTGCCCATCCAGATGACTTGTTTATCTTCCTTAACAAAATGTAAAGAAGGAATGTACCGTGTTACTAACTTTAGTAGTTAAACTTTCCCCTGCTGTGCTTCCCTTTCATGTTTGCATACTTATCACAAACGTGAGGAGATTCCTTCTTCCCTGTAGTCATCTACCAATATGTTTTGATAGAAGAGATTACAGTCAAGATAGGAAGATTACAGCAACACAGAATTTTCCTGTTCAACTGCTGATCAATTAACAATTAGTTAAACATCTTCAGCAGAGTTGATGGTCAATAAGGAAGAGGCATTAGAGATGCAAATTGCTTTTGAGGTATGTGTCCTAGCTTTCAGTTTATGTATTAAACAAGGATAAACAAGTAAACCAGCAAAATCTGGTCTAGAAGATGCACAGTTAAGGAGATTTTAGTAAAAGTAACTGATTACTCTTCTGCTTGTAACAGTAACTTCTGCTTCCTGAGCAAAATTACTGAGCCAGAATAAAATAATGCTTACTAGTTTAAACATTCTCACATCAGTGTAATTACGAAGGATGTCTTACCACTTCAGCTGTCTTTTACGTTGAGGGTAACGTAGGCCAAAACTGATGTGAGTTTACACTTAGTACCAAGTGCTTGCACCAAATGCTTGATCAGGCTACGCTTTCTGCCACTTAACGGTGTGCAAACTGTCATGTTTAACTGTTATTTATTTTAAATGCTATTAATAGGTAGTTCAGTTCTTCTTACCCTTTTATTCCTTCATTTCTAGTTAGAAGATTTAAAGATAGAACTATCACTGTTTCAGCATGACCAGTCACGTGCTTATTTCTCTTTCTCATCAGGCCCGCTTCATTCTCATCCTCTTGGTTGGCTCCTTTGATGTCATCTGTGCCATCATCCTTATTCAGAGTCAAAGCATGATGGCCTTTCGAGTGGGTGGTGCTCTAGAAAGCCTACAGTCACAATACTTCATGCTGAATCTCTGTTTTTCCATGCTGACCTTTGATCTTCAGGCACAGGTATAGAACTCTTCTTCCAGGTTCCATTTTCTCATCCTGTTGAGAATATCTTAGAATTACAGCTAGCTGAACTGAACTGAGGGCTACCTAAAGCAATTCTGTCTGTATCTTACCTGCTAGGTAAGATTAGCCTGATAATGGTAATTTTCCAGGTGTTTTTTGGTGTCAAGTATTTTGGTGAGATATACAGTCTCATGCTAAAAATGTCAGCAAATCTTTGCCTCTTCTCTTTCAGCTCTGCTTGTGTATTCTGCTGATAAGCCTCCACGAGATCACCCTTCTACATAACATCATTTCAGCAACAGGGATTCTCTGGGCTTGCCTGAAAGTGACCGTTAGCATCATCGCGGTAAGTGTGAAGCTAACAGCTATGTTATCCAGGATAATCAACTTCTGAATCTAGAAGTTCCTGCCCTCGAGCAGCAATCACAAGCTAGCAAGTGACAACTGTCCCTTTC